GCGTTCTCTTGATAAAAGTAGGTCACTACAATTTCATTTATCTAACAACCCTATTTGGGAAGCATTTAATATTTAAGACAATGTTCTAACCGGTCGATCATGCCCGTAAAGATAACCTGTATCTGTCCTGGCAGAAATGTATATAAATCATAACTCTCATGCTTGTGAAGCGAATGTTTAGTTTAGTCTTATAGACGTAACCACTATACTAACTAATCACAGAAGTTTAATTGTGCATTTCACTGGACATTAAATTTCTTTAAAATTTATCGGTAATCTAGTACAATAACCGTTGTCTTCCACCAAATCAGAGACACTTTTGAATGTGTGCAACTTTTTAGTGGCACATGAGGTTTTCAGATTTTATAACCAGAAGTTTGTTCTTACAGCAGGACTACGTAAAGTGTTACGCAAACATCAAGTGAGGTGTCTTAAAATTAATGTGATGTGTGCAAACGTATTGCAAGAAAAACTTGTTAGGATGTTAGATAAACCTTAAAATAAGTCGCAAAACATATACTATTTGTTTAAGATCGGCTGAATCTGATATTTGAAACATGTTGTTTAATGCAGGCGTGTTCACGCAACTGCATACTCATATCGCAATACCATATTAAAATGATCACGTGACTTTCGACTGACTTAGTTCTATTCTGTTGGTCAGATTATGCTCAATCATGTGATTAGTTCAAGTGCTTTATGTGTAAATCCTTACAATATGTCTTCATTTGACTGTCTATCCGTCTAGCGATCTGTTAATTGCATTCGATTCTTATACCGATTAATAAATATTTAATTAATACTGGCTAACTGACACACTGGATAGCCCGAGTTCATTTCAGTATGGTGTAAGCTGGACAAAACTGACGTAAGCCTGGATATATTTTACCGTAATACAATCGGTAGGCATTCTTTTTCTAGTGTTGTTTTAATTCGACTAAAATCGCTCGTTCCAATTCAAATCTGGTTCAGTTACATAGAGGTTTAATCATGATGTCATTTCAATGCTAATTTGATATAAGTTCAGTTGTGTTCATTTGGACAACGCCTTTGTCTGTAATACTTTCCTTATCAAGTGGCACTAAATAAGTCAACTCAAAATTCAGATAGACTACTTTACACTTTGAAGTGTCAAAAGTAAGTTTGTTGTCATCTGGCCAACTTTGAAGTCGAGTCAGATCATCCTGAAAAGCCAGTACTTCTCCTTGGTTGCATATCTCTTTTCAAAGCTCTACATCATCAGCAAAAAGTAATAAATCTGACGGTGCCTGCTGTGGGAGATCGTTTATATAAATCAAGAAAAGAATAGGTCCTAGTACCGAATCCTGGGAGGCCCCACTAGTACATTCCATAGCCTGAGAGAAAGTGAAGTTAACCCTGACCTTGAAATGTCTGTTTTTTAGATATGAAGTGAGACAGTTAATTAGAGGTGATTTGATACCCAATCGCCTGAACTTATTGATACGACATACATGGTCGACCCTATCAAAAGCTTTTGAGAAATCAAGGTAAATGATGTCAATCATCCCCTTTCGATCAAGGATGGTTGCTCATCTGTCCATCGCAGTCAGCAGGTTGATTATACAAGAATTATTCTTCCTGAAACCGTGCTTTTGGCGTGAAAAAAAAAGTTTGGGGGTAATAGATAGTCGTGTATACCGCCGCATATCAGGGACTCTATAATTTTTGAATTTATAGAGAAGGGCCATTGGTCGGTAGATTAAAGGTTTGCTGCGTCGACCTTCTTCTAAAAATTGGTGTGATGTGAGCCAGCCTCAAATCTTCCGGTAGTTTGCCTCGGCTAAGCGAGTGTGGGAACATTACACTAAGCGGTGTTGCCAGGATTGAAGCTGTTTCCCTCAGTATAGTAGAAAAAACCGTACCCGGACCGGGAGAAGTGTCGCAGTCTCAGTAAACTAAGTCGGCGCTCGGGTTCACTTCAGAAAGTCCTGTGCGATTGCAGATAAAGTGTCGCGACTTTATGTCCCGAGTTTTATCACATGATTTATACACCAATCAAAATACGACTCATGCAATCTTAGCACTGTGCCAAACCAATGACGGTCGACCGGTATGAGCAGCCTAGCGTCCTTATTGGTCCTATGTCCGCCGAGCCCGTCCACTTGAGTCAAGAACACCAATACCAGCTTCCACTATGCGAATCACAAATTTCAAACATACTGTGTTTATATATCAAACGAACAGACCACAACGCATCATAAAATAAGGAATAACATTTGTACACAACAAAGCCAAAAAGTGGCTGTGAACGTGGGAGACAGTATTTAATAAAGTGAGCATAATTTAAAAACAGTAAATCGTATTATAATAAATTATAGATAAAATGAAAGCTTATAATAAGTAGTATGTAGATATATACAATCTAGTGACTGAATAGTTATAACATAAGAATATATAGATAATATTAGTCCGTTAATAGATCTCAGAAGTGACTCGTAATTCAGTTTTCACTAGGATATAACATAAAGCTTTCATCAACATAGTCAGTATGGCTCGGTTGAAATGTCCGAGAGTACTGTTCAGTCAGAAGGTTAGCGGCGTCACCGTCGTTATTGGTTGGGCCGTTAGGACCTGGCATTTGGGAAACTCAGGTTCTTGTCGAAGGGGAGGCTGCATAATGGAATAAGCTTTTCGGATTGGAGACAAATTTATCGATAGGCTTAATCTGGTACTGAAGCCAGTCTTCTCTTATTGCCTTTGTGCATATGTTCGTTATATGTTTGTATTGTCAGTACACTCCGTTGTTGTTAGTTCGTTTGAATTCTGCCCAACAGTGCCTTTTATGGCTTTGCGAATGAAGAGTGCGGTTCTTGATGACTGTAGGTTGCTTGTAGATTTTGGGGACCGTTTGAGGAAGGCTCTATTTCAGGAAGTTCGAGCTTCATATTTGACTCTTCCCAAGACATCCTGTCATGTTTGTCCTGCAAATTGAGGGGGATTTCAAGGCTGTCTTTGAGGTTTATGATTATTAGAGAATTATCATGAAACGTTATTGTTTTCCAAGGTTTTCGGGTGCGTTCGAGCCGAGCAGCGCTGTCAAGATCGCTCTTCCTGCTTTCATTGGGAGCCCTTGTTTGTCCACTCTTTTAGGACTGTGTTTTTTCAAGTTTGATGACAACTGATTCCGCAGACCTGTCAATAAGACAATGATGTTGCTCAGCAAAACTTCAGCATCCGTGTTGCACATGACACATACCCACCCATGCTTCGACTTCGCATGTTGTAAGCAGACACTATGAGGTCTGTGCGCGCTTCGTGAAACCAACTTTTGCGATTGTCGCACTGCATGACAGATGTAACAGGAAAACGGTATCCTGGTCGTTTGCATGAATTTTTCGTGACTATAGTGACGTAAATTGTTTTATACGTCCTAATAAAATCCTAAGACCGTAAAAAAACAACACGTGGCTAAACTTCCCGTTCGTAAAGCGTGCAATCAATGCAATCGCCTGTCAAAAAGATTTTTGTTTTTTAAAAATTTAGAGAGCCTTATTATTATCAAGATAAGCATCTTAAATTATTGAAAACTAAGTTTTGGTGGCTACGAAAAAAAATATCGTATGAATGATGCTGTTCAAGATAGATTTCCTCGTCGCTTGTTGAGAAGATCGATAACATGTTTTTGGCGTCATGTACATAGCTTTCGAAGGTATGCAATCAGTCGATATTTTGTGATAAAGTTTGTTTAAGTTGTTCGACAATCTCTGCCGCTAATCAAAACTGCCAAATGACCTTTGGGGCGTAGCTTTGACATTTGTGAGCAAATTGACGTGCAAGGACATTAGCAAAGTTTGAATGTCAGCGAGATGGCGTTGTAGCTCATTAAGATGAAAATCATAAAATGATGTCTAGATCAAACTATTTTTATCAGCAAGTGCATGGCTTATCAGGAGTATCTTTTATTTCAAAAGAATTCTCATTATTGAAATAATGTCATGCAAAGTTTTGTCATTTACTTCTAATGTGTCACATCCCAACACATTGAAGTGGAAATTTGATGCGTGTATGATAAAATGATCTATGAAATTATTAACACCATAGAGAATTAGCGGAAATTTACAACTTATATTTCTCAGTCACAAGTAACAACTATAAGTATTATCTAGTAAATTCTGGAATTCAATCACAGTCACGCTTTTCAGTGTCTGTGTAGTGAACGAAAACTCGGTGGACAACCAGTTAATTGTTTTACGCTAAATTACACTGTGCCTCCGTAAAATAATAAATACATCACTTGGATATCTTTCTTGACTTATCCTTTACGTACTTCACAATTTTTCCAGTACTGTTGTAATTCGAATTACTCTCTGTCTTCTCTTTATTTCAATCCGCTGGTAAGCATTTCACTTCCAATATCCCACAAACTCTTTATTTCTGTCCGCATAGGTAGGACACATCACATTTGTACTTAAATGTATATTATTAATATTACTCAATTTGTTTAATGTTGTTGGTGTCTTATAGCAAGGCTTCTACGGGCTGGGGTTTCCGACCCCATGCCCAACCTTCCTCCTTTACCCGGGCTTTCGACCGACAGTAACTTTAAAAGAGCTACAGGCGGAGTTTATTACTAATATGTGACAACATAAATTGGGACTTGCAATAATATTTTCTAGAATTGTGCCCTGATTTTATGAAACGGAGGGAAACTTCACTACAATGTAATACTTACACCATCTCTCCTTCCATGATGATGTTCATTGAACTTATGTTCAATGTCATAGAGACAACACTGTTGCGATTTCGTACACCTTTACAATATCTTTTTACAGTGACATCAGGAGGTAATTTTCGTATTTAAGTGTATTGCCTTCTTTCTATCTTGGTTCATAAGCGTTTATTGATTTCTTTAGAAATATGCTAATTAGTTTTTGTCTTTTTTTTAATCGATGAAACTATCTTTTCCATTACAGATTCCTCACCTTAAGCAACTGGCTTTGTTGACCTCCTAAGAGTTTCGTCATTCATAGGGGTTCCTCATGAAAAGAGGTGGTGGACCGAATGATTTAGACCCCCCACCAAAAGTCTCTAAAACTAGAGAGTCTGTGGATGAAGATGAATGTGTCGGCGATTGGCAAGTATGTTACGCATCAGTTCAATCCAGTATTGATTGGCTATTTTGTAACTCATGTTTTTACGAGTAATCATTATTTTGCAGAAAAATATTAAGTAATGGGGTTAATAGTTGTACATTTCGTTTGCCCTCATTCTTACCAGTGAATTGTTGGGAATATTTGTGGATTTCCTCATAAATGATCTCTGTTTCCATCATCCTCATTTGAATACTAGGCATCTATTTTACTCTTTATTTTTTGTGAAAATATCTTGTCGAGTCAGTTAATGAAGTTTCTGTGATAGAAGCTCATTTCTTTTAACCGTCTTTCAGTAATTTTCTTTGTACACAGAGGGGTTGGAATTGATATCCTTTCACTACTTTTCATTTCTATAAACTATTTTTGTGTAACATAGGCATCGCTTGGATGTTCATTAGCGGAAAGACTGGAAAAAATCACTACTGTCCAACATTTGACAACACGCCAAGTTAAAAGGTTGTTAAAGGATGTCCTGACTAATGAGGATGTTGTGAGTGCTCTACGTCGGTATATTGACGGTGAATTCAGAGAGCCTGAAACCGGTGAGGTTTCAGCAGCTACTCGAAGGCGTGCTAAATCTTTGGGATTATTTTCTATCCTCAGTGATCTTGGAGAAAATTCCGATTACCACCTAGAATCTAGAGCTATCACTCGGTAAGTCATATTGTTTTTCACTTTTCTGAGACTTATGTTAAATCGTTCGTATGGTGCTATCAGATTTAATATAGAAGACTTAAACTATCCTCTTTGTGTTGGAATACAAACAAACGATTGTTGTATTGGTTGAGCGAGTCTGCACTTTGATATTATCTGTTAAAAATATTTATAGCGGTTACGTTTGTTATCATTTGAAGGTCTTTAAAGAGCATTAATGGGAATGAGAGCACACATCCACCTAACTTAGTTGCTCCACAACAATAATGAGGTTACACAGTAGCCTAATCTCACCATCACAAGCGTTTCGAAAGCATTTTTGAAAGATGTGTGGCGCATATATATTTGGTGCCCACTTATACCAATATTTATGTGTTCAAATAAATAAATACGTAGCTAAGCACTTAGATGTCGAGTGGGTGGGTGCTGTCAGCATCGTATTGTTACTCAGATTTCTTTTTCACTTCCGACGTTTTTACCTTGGCGATGGAGATGATATCGTCTTCTTATGAAATGACATAGGCATGTAAACAGTTGTCTGTGAAATGTATTTTTTTCGAACTGAGAACGTGCTACGGCTTTGCGTTCTATGATAATTGTCCTGTAAGGAATCCTTGCTTGCAATGGTAGCATCGGGTGTTGTTGAGATACCCCAATGTCGATTTGAGTATAATGTAAATGCTGATGAGTTATTAAGTTCTGTTACTTTGAGACACCGGCTTCCTTACGGTATATATATAACGGGTTTCATACCAACTACTACTTGTCGTTGCTTGCAATTAGTTGAAACAGTAGACGGATAATCTGCTATTTATACGTCTGGCAATGGATTACTGCAGGGTATTCATTATTAAGTGAGTCGATTTCAAAGCACTATTTAATTTTGAAGCTAGTACAACTCAAGTTATGTAATATTTTCACGAAATCAGTAGATCATCATTCTCTATCACTCACCAACTTTAAGAAAAACATTGATCAAACATAATTTGCGTACTGAATTCCTTTACCCGGAGAATAAATTTAGTTCCTAGATCGTAACGGATTTTACTACTGACAATTTTGCATTACGCTTTATTCCTTTTAAATTTCGTTCTCATTATTTTTACCTTATTTTTCTCCTTTCCATATTCGTCAAGATTCTCGGAAACTAGCTAAATCTCAATTTAGTGACTTGTTGGTCTTCTCATCTTGAACTGAGGTGGATAAGTATTTCCTCTAAAAACTTTATTTTGTGTCTGTACTCCCTGTGGGATTCCGTGTTACATCATGTTATTATCTAGTTTTGATTAACTGTATTAATCATTTCTATACAAACACATTTAAATCAGTTATTTAGGTCCGTAATTGTCATCATAACTTCTTTGCACTACATTTGGTTGATATTACCTAGATTCTAGTTAACCAAATCACTTTTTGGATCTAGTTTACTATTCACTTACGTACAGCTAGAAGTCAAAAAGAAATTATCTTAACATTTAAGAACAAAGTATCTTTAGTGCTATCACACTCTTGTAAATAGATGTGGTATCAATTCTCCAATTTTTTGCCAATACTTACATGGAGATAAAATTTCTAATAACTGTGGTACCAATTATTAACTTTCGATAATCTATTCATACCATTATCAACTTGGTATTTATGTTTATGAAATGAACGCTTTAGTATGTTAATTTCTCAAACCTACTGTTTTAAGGCAATCAATATTCGGTTTGATGGATATCTTTTTGCCTCTTTTCGTTTGTTTCAATTATCTTTAATGTTTGGCATAGATCACACAGCTTAGTTTTCAGTAATTATCTATTTACGTTTTCACTAAATATTGAATACTTGAAAATGGCGGATATGTTGAGGAGAATGACGTATGTATTGAGTGTTATGAATTTCACTTATTGCTTTAAGCTTCATATAGTTTATGAATTGCATATCAATGTTAAAATGTATAATCTAATTTATGCTTCACTTTGGTTTCTATTTTCTTACAAAATCAACACACATAAATGCAGTACTCTTTGCTTTGTTAAGCATCTAGTGTAGTTTTTATCATGTTACTTTGATTTGTTTACTGTCCAACTAACTGAATTCATATCTTAGCAAATACCAGCGTTTTCACCTGTAGCTGTAAATAAAGAGTTTCCAGAGGTTGGAATTCCCAGTTTAGTGAGTATTAGCATTATAGTTTTTTGTTTTCCTTTGTTGGTTCCCATTAAAATATTCCTATACTAACAAAGTCGGTGTATTTGACTCAGTGAATTAAACATGTAATAACAAATCTTATTGATGGCCGACTAATTTCTTGTGTAATGGTTTTATTTATCTGTCTATTTTGAATAAATTCTTCAGATCACTTACTCGTCGTATTGAAGAGTCATTGCAAAATCAGTTTCCACATTCTACCACACCCGAAAAAGAAGCACCATGCACCATTCTTGATATGGAATTCCCTGACGAAGATGATGGCAACGTAAAAAATATAGGGAGCGATTTAGATATTTCATTGACCGATAGTGATTACCAACCGAACGATGGAGATTACAAAATTTTAAGACGTGATCAAGTGCTAGATTTTACCGAAGCATCCAAACATAATTCCTGTGTTACAGATGTAGGAAATGAAAGTTGTCTTAATGGTAGTACAAGTAGCACTGAGAGTGATTCACAAATAGATCTTGACTCTTGTGATGACTGCATTCAACCTAACAATGTCGATAATTCTGTTTTCTGTGGAAACGATAATAATTTAGATATAAGAACTTCCCGTCTCACTCGTTCAAAAGCTAAATCACTCAAGGGTTTATTTGAATTAAGAAACGGTGTTTCTTTTGAAAAGCATGAAAATTCTAACTCCAGCGTATCATTTCGACCGGACGATGCTGTTGAATTTTCGCCTCCTGGTAGTTCTCATTGTTATCCGGATGCAGAAGAGGGTGAAGAAGAAGAGTTGAACGCAACAGAGGAAATAACGAATAAAAATTACAGTACAACAACAAATAAAGATGTAGATATTGAAGATTCAGATAACGATGTTTATACTCAATTTCTTCGTTCGCTGTTCACTTCCGCTTCCAATTCAGCAAACTGTACGCCTAACAAAGTGTGTTAAAAGTTTTAGTATTGGTATAAAGTTCCTTGTGCAATTATTTTTGAATCTTTGTATTTTTTCTAAATATTTTATCTGTTCTGTATGGTTGTGATAACCTATTTTATGGAGATTCAATGTGATATTATAAAGTGATTAATATCAAGTCATAGCTGTTTACTTAAGTCTTTGGATCCCCAAACAGCTTCATGGGTTAAAACACTTATGTATGCAACCTTGGTCAATAGCTTTCTGTATTTCAACTTAATCGTGGCTACTACCGCTATTTGTCGTATTCGGAAGTTTTCAATCCGTTGACCTTATGTATAGGCTCTCTTTCAACTTTCTATTTCTTAATCACAAACAATAGCGTACTTTTTAATAAGATAGCTTCTTGTCATCTAACAACATGGAAATGTCACTTAGAGATAGATTTTTTATAGTACGTAAATAACAAGTGAATGGTAAAATGTTTAACTGACACCTTGATAGTATTTTGACCTAGTGAGGATGAAATTAATGACAGTTGTTCATTTTGGTACTATCTATGACTACAGGATATCCGAAATTTCAACGAAGCTTAGACATTCTTTTGACTGTCTGCAATCCAAAATTAAGTTGAGTACACAACAGTATTCGGTTACGTAGCAATATCACCTCTGTCGATATAACTATTGACCTTGTGACTAGTTAATATAGTCATAATATATTACGAATCGATCGGTTATATTGTGTTTAGTCCAATCCTCTTACAAGTGGTCATTCTAGAACTCGAATAAATTAGCAGTGATGACTATTATGATGTTCGTTGTAAGTTAGAAAATCCAGGGTATTAATTTGACGAAGTTTGTAGATATACTTTGGTCAGTGACAATCAAAAACATGATTCAGAGCTTATTGACGGTTTCACTGAATCATATGTAATTATTATTTCCAGAATATATATATATATTGCAGAATAATCCGTTATACCCAATATTTGTAAACGATCAAATCCAATCTAGACTGAGAAACCTATAATAGTATTAATAAGCTGTCAGCTGTAAGTGACTGGTTATATGTGGAAAAATAGTTTGTGAAAAATAACACTGCAAAGTCTTTTGTACTTTTAATCTCGTGTGAGTTTAACTGTAGTTTTTAGTGGTATATAGTTTAATCATTCTCAAAAGTCACAGAATGACGTTTTCTGCGTAAAGCATACTGTTAATGAAATTTAAGTTGAGCATCTTCAAATCCATCAGTTATAGATTATCACCACCTAAATGAATTTTCATAGCTTTTAAATCACTAACTGATCTTAGTTAAACTACCACTGAAAAGCTGTAAATATTTGAGGTATTTATATGTACTACTGAAAATTGCTAGTCAATGTAAAACTGTCAAGTTAGATATAATTATACACTTAACATAAACATTGAAATCCACCATTTCGTTTTAGATTCAACTGTAACTTGCTTTTGCACTTTCTTGATGAACGCATTACTAAAATAATCATGATTTAAAGTTGGTTAGCAAACAGTGTTCCAATGTTGAATACTAAGGTTTTATTCTTGTAATAAACTGCTGCATAACTGTTCAATTTTACCTTACTTTTCAGTCAAATCCAGGAATAAATGCTCCAGTTAAAGCGTCTACAATCTGTGAAAAGCTCTTAGGCGATGAACCAAAAAAAAGCAACAGATCCCAACCATCAAATGGACATCATTCTGAAATGACATCGCGGCCAATATCAAGGCTTGTAAATGATATCAATGACGATGAAGACGATGACGATCCAGAATTTGACGTTATGGCAGAGTTAGACGATGTTGATAGGGAAGATTTTTTCTATGAATTACGAGACGATCGCGCTGTTCGAGTATCTAAAATGGAAGCCAAGGTTCGATGATTTTTAAGTATACCGTCTCTATATTATAATTGAATCTTCAGTTGTATTGGTATAAAAATGTTATTAAATAATGGTTTGATTGATGAAGTAGTCTTCAATGTTATCGTAAATTGCTCTATGTGAATGCTTTGCACTGTTAAATAATTTCATACTATCTAACTGAAATATAATCGAACTTTATATTAAAATGTATTTGATGTACAGATCACAGATTATATAATCTATCCAATTTACAATATATGGCATATTAATGCTTTTTTTAGCAAGTGGAGTGAAAAACTCATCTTAAAAGTTAACTTCTTACTTCCAGGTCTAATTGAATTGTCGTTTAAAAATGATATTACTATTTAAACAGACTTACTAAAATGTTTTGTTGGATGGATTCTATTATGCATTGAAACAGGTATGCTTCGAATGTCAGATACGTTTGTAGGGTCACTTATTTTGACTGTGAATATATGTATTAACAAAAGCAATTATACTGTGTTGAATCGTTCACACCAGCGATCGATATTCAGACTCTTATAAATAAACATCAAGAACCTAAACCATTAAGTAATAGTTCATGTATTGATTAATTCACTTCACAATTTGATTCAGTACCTCAATGATAGGCATCCATATTGATCAGCGCTACATCGTCATTCTTCATTTTAAACGCTTAAGACATCAAAATTATTAGATTCTCATGCAGAATACTACATTCTCTATGTTGAAGTTCAGAAGGTGATTTAATCAATCCACTTTAATCCAACTAATCGCATTGTAAAAAGTCACTAGTCTTAAAAATTATTTCTGCAGATAGGTTTAAAGCTATATGAATTGTAATTAATCGTCTTACTGTTGAAAGAAAACTTGCCAACATCCAAAATATAAAGCCTCTCATAATCAAATTCACTTACTTGGCGTACAAAGATATTTTGGACACACTTTTAATTAATGAAATCTTATACCTATTTCAAATTGAAAGGCGGTGTCATTTATTGTAAATGTTGCCAATGCTAACAGCATAGTTAAGATGTTCACCCATTTGTTATTGTTATTAAAATAGAACAAGTTTTGTAAAGACTCCTTAATTTGTGAGTTGTTTCATTCTCATAGGAATTTTCTTTGCAATCTTCTTAAAACATTGGGATGATAAGTTTTCAGCTGCTAGTTTCTAACATCTCACATATCCAGTCAGTCAATTAACTTTTTTTGTACATCTTTCCATGCACAACAGTTAATGCCCTCATTGATCCATGTTTTATTTTTCAAACGTGATAATAATTAGTATAGTATAGATATGTGGCGTCATCGTCTGATATCCATTATCGGGAAGTTTTATAAATGGTTCACGCTGTCGCTTTCTTGTTTTAATTCTTCCTATTTTATATGTGTAACACAATCTAAGGTTAATAAAACGTAAAATATTCGATAATTCGTCAGTATATTTTATTTTGCACTATGATCATGACAATAACAATTAAAGTTGGTACCTAATAAATCCCGACATCTTCAATGGCTTACACCTGTCAATGATCATTTAGCTGAATGTATTGTGTAAAACGATAACTTATTGAGTTCTATGACTGACAACAACTGGAACAAAGGCGCCAATTATCACGCATATTGACACTGATATAAATTGAAGCTACAACGATCTATTTATTCATTCATCTGTTTAGACACATAAACATTGGTCCAAGGAGGCACCAAATATATACACGTCGTCATTCGATTTGTGTGAGAGCTGGAGTACTGCCAGGGCTCACAAACCGAGGCGGGTAGTTTTCTTAGGGGGCCACTCCCGAGCCTTTGACCTAGAGGTCTAGTCCACAAGACAGTGGAGCAACCTTAGGAAATGCAGTCCCATGGTAGCAGGTAAGCAGCAGTAAGTCCATACGCCATTTGTTGTCTCAGGATTCTGGATCCCATGTGCACCATTGGTTTGGAATTAGTCCTTTCCAACTTCCCTAGTTGAATGTTCCATATCTACCAATCCAGTTAAAGTGCCGGACATTCGCTTTTCGTCCTTTCAATTTCGTAAACAACACCTCTGTGAGAAGGCAGTGAGTAGGACTTCTCTAGCATTGGCTGCATACGCGTGGTCATGTGAGATCATTTCGAGAGGGAGAGTGGAGTCTCCCCACCGTCGGCCGTACCAGGGCATTTGGGAACTTATAGCAATCTAAATAAATGGTATCACGTAACAGCTCTTCCTAATTACTACTGCTAACTATACGACAAAATCCACTTGGTATTGTTTACTTGAATCTTCCCATTGATGTTTAGGGCTGCAATTGATCAGTCTCTTATTGTCATATGTGCATATTGTGCGTATTGCTTTAATTCACAAGAATTTTAAACAAAGATGGATGATGGCTATCAGTGGAATCCAGGACGCGCGTTTCGTCCTATTTGGGACTCGTCGGCTGGATGTACCTGCATCTCAGAGTTGGTGTTCACTCTGGGACTCGAACCCAGTATCAGTAGCTAAGTGGATAACGCGATGGCGTTCGAAGCGAACGGTACTGGGTTCGGGTCCCAGAGTGAACATCAACTCTGAGATGCAGGCACATCCAGATGACGAGTCCCAAATGAGACGAAACGCGCGTCCTGGATTCCACTGCTAGCCACCATCCACCTTTGCTTAATATACGAAAAAATAGCTAGCTATCACAAAACTTACTGAATGGTTTTACAGTGTATTTTTCAAGCTAGTTAGAATTTTAATCGAGTTTTAAGTTTAAATTATTATTTGTATCTGTTCAGAATTTACATGAAGATTTACGTGAACTGTTTAGTTCAGAAGAAGGACATGAAAATCGTACACATCAATCCAAAACACCTTCATTCCTGGCAATGAAAGCTTATGGCCAACGTTTGTTTCATATGGATCGCAATACCTTTCGAAATAGTAGTCAAATAGATGAGTTTAACAATCCACAACATATTCAATCTCCTGCACCCAATGAGATTTTTCATAAGACTACAGATACTCCGGTTAATCCAACTGTAACACGGTGTCGTATCACGTTAGTCATAGCATTTTCATCCCGTCTATTTCCTCTCATACTGAACTGAATTTTAAGACGGTGTATTTTGGCATTCTCTGCAAATTGTGCGTATTTTGTGCTTCATTATTTCTGATACTTATTACCATTCGAGTAAAATTTGACTGTATCTTAGGTAGTTACAAAACAGACCCTATGTAGGATTATCTTTAGAGCTTGATCTATAAAAGTCAAATGTGATCTCTTCATCATAGTTGACCTTTTCTAAAAAATGAAGAGCATATTAGTCAGTCTGGTGATCCTAGTGAGATTTGTCTAACATATTTTAAGGTTTCAAAACAATAAAATTCCTGTGTGACAGGTGGATTTCAGTCCTGGTGTAGTTATCTGATTTTAGGATATTCTACATAGTCTGTCAGCTTTCAGCCTGTAGTTCATCGGTTGTGAGGTCTTGTGTAACTTTTGTGGCAAATATACTATTACACAAAGGGCTATTTACGTTCAGCTTAAAAATAATAAGTGAAATAGTTGCTCAATACGTCAAGGTCTCATCGTATCATCTCAAATATCTCGATGGTAACGTTTCAGACTACGCTTGAATCTACCAGGGAACATCAGTCACCTCAAGGTTGCAGGTGCATACCTCGTTGATGCGTCCTAATTATCATGTAACCCAGGTCCAGCGTTTCTTGTCGACTACCTTCAGTTGTCTGTCATATCAAAAGAAAAATAAGATGTTATGCAGTAATGCCCGATTAAAATGATCATTTTCTCAACTGTACTAAACATTTTCGTTTAAAGTATTTTTAATCGCTTCAATATTATATAAGGCTTAATAACCTGAACTAAAAGTAAATGGTTATCATAAATCTCTGTTCGCACTATATATAAACGATTAAATGGTGTCATGTGTGGTGAAAACTAGTCATAACTATAATTATGGTCTCATGAGTGGTATATAAACATTAATATCGACAAAGGAATGAAATCAAAGATTTTTTAAAAAAACTGCTGTAAGAAATTGAGGTGAGCAGTTCCCGTTTTATCTACATGATTCGATATTTTTTTGTCTATCATAAGAGTTGCATTGGCACACAGTACAAATGAGTATAAGGTTTTATAAATTTCTCATTTCAAATTATGAATATAGCTTTACTTAGTAACTAATTACAGGTTTTCGTATTCGGCTTTAAACTTCTTGTCCAAGAAGCAATCAAGTGGGTTGCCAAAACCAAAGTAGGTGGCAGGGCAAGATCAGAACCTGCGGCGTACCAGTTGAAAACAAAGTGCTATTAGAAGTGTTAATATATTTTTTTATTTTATGAAACAGCAGATACTTTTGACTTAATTTTCCATTTTTATAAGAAATAAGTTTCATTATTGTCATTATGGTATCGTCTTGTTTGTAATTCGTATTTCTTTTTTGTAGCCTTACTGAGACAGAACTAGTTCGATTGGAACGTCAATTAGTAATGCATATTCAATTGTTAACTACGAATTTCTTATTAACATATGATTTTCCTGATATGCATGAATATGTTACCCGACCATGTGCTACTCTTCTCAAAACTTTAATTGCTAAACGTCAAGCTTTTGATTTAGTTGCACTTCAACAAAATATTCCCGATAAATATCCTGTTACAAGCTTCTATTGGTGTTGTCCTACTTTGGAAATGGCTGTTGATTTGATTTCCGATTATGCTGGATTATCTATGCTTCCACGTTTACCATGGAATCCGTATAAACGAGGAGTAGGAAATAGTCTTACCAAGTCACAATCATTCGCCTTGCCTATCCCATATTGTTTATTACGTATAATGACTAACAGTCCTATTTGGTCTTATGCGTGTTTAATGCCTACTGTCTTGGGACCACATCCGAAAAGTCATGTCCGATTAATTTTTCATCCATCTGAAGATGCTTTAATGGTGATGGGGTTGGCAGACTTTTCCGGTGCATTAAGTCGAACTCGTAAATCTCTCGAACCTAAAACTCTTAATTATCACCACCAATCTAGAAGTCGTGGATCTAAGTGTAAACAACCTTGTCGTTACATTGCATATCGTTTAATCGGTAGGCATATACTTCCGTATCGTACACTATTGCAGTTACGCTCTCGTCGTTGGAATCTGTTGGCTAATCGGGACAGTATAGATAATGCAGGGGACTCCAAACATGTACCAGTTGCTACTCGTCGTCTACTTCAACTCTACACTGAGTTAAGTCAACCAGGGGAAGTGGACCTAAAAAGAATTCAACAGTACGCTAATGAAATGACTACACTTGCTGCTCCTTATGGTCTTCCACTAATTGTTGAATGTTTAACTGATAAGAATTTTAAAGATTTGTTTACTTTTGAAGGGCTTCCCACCGATGTAGGTTATGAGCATGTTTTAAATTCTAACTATCGTAATGAAAATGCAAAACGTAGATTGGATGTATTAACTGAGTTCATAGAAAATGCCGAGTGTTTCTGGAGGTCACAGATTGGAAAAACGCACTCTATAGAAATGAAAACAACAAATTCAACAGATGTAGAAGGTGAATCCATAGTCAAATTAGAACCACCAGTTGAATGTGATGTGCTTGGTCCGAATTATTTACCTGCTATCCCAGTGGATCTCAATCCTGACGGGTAGGTTCTCTCTTCGACATAATATTTTTAAAGTTTCATAGTTATCATAAGAATTGATAGTACATAATATTGTGGTGGGTTCCCCTCCCAATTTATTCCAACTAGGTATCGATAGGACAGACATTATTATGTTGATATGATTGAGAAAATATGTAGCTCAAGATATGGATTTCTGAAATCCTATGTTCTCTCAGGTATATTATTTAATCTTGAAGCTTTTATTATCTTTTTTGAACAATATCGTCAATATATACTACAAAAAAGTATCGCGACTAAACTGTCCAACTGAAAAAATGCAACATCCTCTTCCACTGGTGGTAGTAAACTGATATATCTTCACAAGTTTCTGAAATCGTCATTTTACTGATTAATTATTTCAACTTATTAATAGTTGGCTGTAGTTAAAATTTACACGGTACCTCTCCGAGTCCACTTAAATATGATATGGTGTAACAACTGGTTAATTACTGGATTGAAAAAACGCGTCCCATTGACCTAGTTGGTTGTGAGATATTCTATTGGGGATGTCTTTTTAGTTAACTATAAAAGCTTAGAGTTGATTTAATGTAAAGGAGAACAAAACGACTAACCAAGTAACGTGAAACTCTGTTCAACTCCAACTCTTGAAGCGTTACAAATCACCTGGCCCAGATGACTTACCTCCGGCTCTTTTTAAAGATGGTGGTGACTTTTTGACTAAGGAATTGACGACGTTGTTTACAAAGGTTTGGGAACTAGAGTGTGTACCAACGTCATGGAATGAGTCGATAGTTGTCCCTATCTTTAAAAAGGGTTCACGTCGTTCTTGTAACAACTATCGGGGGATAAGTTTACTTCCGATTGCGTCCAAGCTATTGGCTTCCGTCATTCTTCGTAGGTTGTTCAAAACCCGAGAAAGATTGACTCGCGAGGAGCAGGCTGGGTTTCGTTCTGGTCGAGGATGTATTGATCATATCTTCACCCTCCGCCAAATGTTAGAACACCGCCATACTTTTCAAAGGCCAACAATCGTAGTGTTTCTTGACATCAGGGCTGCCTTCGATTCGTTGGACAGGACTGTTCTCTGGGATTGTCTATTGAAGAAGGGTGTGCCTGAGAAGTTTATTAACATCCTGAAAGCCCTGTATAAAAACACCTCAGGCAGAGTGAGGGCATACAACCACCTCTCTCCATTGTTCCATTCGAGCAGTGGGGTTAGGCAGGGTTGCCCAATCTCACCATTCCTCTTCAACTTTGCCATCGATGACATTCTGGAAACAGCTCTGATGAATGTAAGTAATGGTGGTGTGGATCTGTTGCCTGGAGAAAGACTTCTCGACCTTGAGTATGCGGACGATATTGTCTTACTGTGCGATAATGCCCAAGGCATGCAATCCGCACTTAATCAGTTGGCAATCAGTGTCCGTAGGTATGGTATGTGCTTTGCACCTTCGAAGTGCAAAGTACTTCTACAAGACTGGCAGGATTCTAATCCTGTACTCACCCTGGACGGTGAGCAGATAGACGTAGTTGAGAAGTTCGTGTATCTGGGTAGCTGCATAAGTGCTGGTGGGGGTGTGAGTGATGAGATCAATGCACGAATAGTGAAAGCCAGAGCGGCTTATGCCAATCTGGGCCACCTTTGGCGCCTTCGTGATGTTAGTCTGGCTGTAAAAGGTCGGATCTACAACGCGTCGGTGAGAGCAGTTTTGCTCTATGCTTGTGAAACCTGGCCTCTCCGAGTTGAGGACGTTAGACGACTCTCTGTGTTCGATCATCGCTGTCTCCGAAGGATTGCTGACATTCAGTGGCAACACCATGTCAGTAATGCAGAGGTTCGGCATCGTGTGTTCGGGCACAGAGATGATAACTCAATTGGTGTCACCATCTTGAAACACCGACTTCGGTGGCTTGGACATGTTCTCCGAATGTCGTCCCAGAGAATTCCACGTCGTGCATTATTTGCCGACTCTGGGACTGGTTGGTTAAGAGAGAGGTGGTCAGTGCATGACATGGTGTCGTGGCATGAAAGAAAGCTGCAAAGGACTGGCTTGTGTTGGTCCTTCACGACTCCCTGGTTGGGGTCCGAGAGATGGTGCTACACAGTGGCTAGAGACGTTATCAGATATGGCTCAGAATAGAAGCCAGTGGCGATCCTGCTGTAACCTTCTTTTACTTTCTTTCTAAAAAGTGGTTGTGTCTCCTTTACCTGAAAGATTTCTTCTGATTGTACCTTTTCGTTCCGTCGTTACTACCACACTACCTTACTCCAATCTCTTCGTCATTGTTCTCTTTTTCTTTTGCGTTCCCTAGTTTTTTTTTTCTTTCTATTTCTCTTCGAATTTTCATTGTTTTGTGTGGCGCATATATATTGGCGCTCTCTTGTACCAATATTTATGTGTTCAAATAAATAAATAAAATAATAGTTCAACTAAATAAAACATCTGGAGGTTGGTGAATATCTTATTAGTTCACTTCTTGAAATGTGCAAGAGGTTTGGCCTCCCTTTGGAAACACTTCCATTCCACTTTGCATTTAAAGTGTTTGAAACAAACAGTTCGTTGGATACTCATAGCACACCTTTACTAGTAGAAGATACTTAATACAAGATCAATAATGCATATGGTATCCAGGTTCTTGTTGGAAGAAATGGAGTATGAACTCATTCTCATGATCAGCGATATTTTGAGAATTCATATTCTGATGCAGCTCAACTACTTTAAGGATTAGACCTCTTAGTTAGAGTTAGTCATCTGAGGAACCAACGTGCTCCAATTTGACTGACTGTCTGATATCGCGTTACAGAAACACCAATCAGATTCCTCGAGTCGAGGCTAAGCTCTTGCTGGTTCACAGTCCCCTACCTCCTCTTTGTCCTTCCCTTGAGTCCAGAAATCAATAATCAGCCCCACTGTATTTGTATTTCAAGCAGACATAATTTATACACAACTGGACCAGATCACATCACACCATGAAATAGAAAACAATTATACAGAATCAAGCCAAAAAGGGGCTGCCAACAGATGAAGAATAATAAATCATACTACAATAGTTAATAGGTTAATCGGAAGCTTGTGATGGAAGATATATATAATACAAATGAGTTTTCCTTATCTATCCAAGTTCACGAAATCTGATCATATCACAATTTCAGATATCTATCTAACTTTTTTCCACCTAACAAGTTGGTAATTTCTGGTGCTGTAACCTTTTAAACTGTCATGAGTTGTCGAATGGTTGTTAGCATTAATATCAAAGTTTAACTGAATATTTATATGCCGAAAAGAAAACATTCTAATTGCAGATATTATGCATGGTGCTATTGTGTAACGATATTCATTTATGTGTCTTATTGATTTATCATTTATTAATCTAGTCTCTGACATGGTTAAAGTTCAGAATATCCATTATTTCGTATGTCAGCTACACTGGTCTAGTATAGTGCTGTCTTATTCTTCCTAATCCACATTCCATTTTCCTGTATTGGTATTTTTTTATTGCTCATTCAGTACCGTAGTTCTCAGCAAAACCAGTGAACCTGCTCTAGTTGAAGTTTTTAAAGTGTCTGATGACTCGGAGTCAATCCATGATTCAAATAATCACTCTGAAAATCCAGTTAATAATTTATCAAGTCAAGAAACACAAAAATATCGAACTGTTCAAACTAAAAAATCACATCATATCGAATTTATCCTAGCCCGGATAAACAAACAAAAGTCATATAAACTTTCAGATGATGATAATGTAGAACCACCAGCAAGTGCTGAAAATCATGATATATCAGATGGTATTGTTGCACCGTCCTCTGTTGAATGTATTTTAAATGATCAGCAGCTTGAGGAAATGCCAAATATTTTGGAGTCTTACTGGAGTCATACAGGTAATGATGCATTAGATGTTTGTCAAAAAGTAGCAGATGCTTTAGTGAACTTATTTCACTTTGGTTTGATAAATTTTGTGCTGCCCGTGGAGACGCTACTCTTGGACCTAGAAAGTTTTGCCATATGTTGAAGTCATCAGTGTTAAATCCTCATATTCCTAGTGCAGATACAAGTTCTGTATGTTCAAACAACTTTCAATCCGTTTTGGATTCGTCAATTTTTATTGCTGATGAGTGTCAGAGTCAAGCTGCAGGGATCTTCCCAAGTGCATGTCTTATGACATCCAGTCGTTTTGTTGCAAGATGTCGGGCACGTGGTGATGCTAACTCATCTGACTTACTGACTCTACCGTCTTCTATCATAACTCATACACAGGCAATAACGGATGAGATGGATGTGAGACGAGCACGTTCACTACTAGATCGATGTCGAACCTATTTAGCTCCATGTGATTACAAAAATATGATGATTAACTTGTCCAACTTAAGTCAAGCTATTCAGACTCCTAGATTAATTACCAGTAATCATGAACAGTCAGACAAAACTGAAGTATTACTTTCTCTTGCATGTGTGTTAAATTGTTTGAAAAAACATTTATCTTTGTGGGAGGATTTTGTTTGCCTTCTTACTCCATCACAAGCCCGTAGTTTGGGTCTGCTATCTACATATTTCAATCTGGCACGGATCAACCGAGTGCAAAGAGTTTTACAAGATATTGTTCCCCGTGATAGGAGATTCTGGAGACGTCTTCGTAATTTGGCAGATAGCTGCAGCATTGAGGCACGTCATATTCCAGTCAAAAGAAGTTTTATACAGGTGTGAGAGATAATTCTGCTCATGATCCTTCAAATGCAGATAAACAGGACCTCCATGATTGCAGCGAAAGAGCAACTAATGGGACTCGAAACATTCGGAAATCATCTGTGTTACAACAGGGTCAAAGTTCAGGTACAATCTTAAGTAAAACCCAAACCAAATCCCGCGTTAGAGGTTTGCGGCATCGAAATATGCATGATGCATTCTCCAAAGCTTGGTCAGTTCTGGAGAGTAGTTGGCGCAACCGTCCTGTTCTCTTATCACGTATCGCCAGTCTTATTAATACTAGACATAAGCCATATGTCGGTTTTGAACAGGTTAGTGACTTCATTTTGTATAAATAATATCTACTTGTCATTATTAGTTTAATCAAACTCCCCTTCCATTGGTATATATATATAGTATTGTATACATCAGTTTATTTACTTCATATATGGAATTAAACCACAAGAATAACTTAAGATGGAAAATTCAGCATCATATGTTTTCCTATATATATATATATATATATATATATATATATATATATATATATATATATATATATATATATATATATATATATATATATATATATATATATATATATATATATATATATTACCTAATAGAGGTATATTGTTTAAAACACTGTTTCTTGAGGTCTGACACTACCAAACAGGTAGGTAGGGTATAAGCAGGGCTAGGATTTCGTCCTTCTCAACAGTAAAGTATATTATTCCTATATAAAACAGAAGGACTACTAAAAGGCACCTTCTGACTTTGATTGTGAACCGAATATAGTGTTGGTTAGAAGCATTAATCCGCGATACGTTAATATACGCTAGTCGTTTATTTGATCGAAGTTCAGAGTCTGTTACCAGTGGTCTCGATTTGGAAGCTGTGTGAATTTCCACACTCAGTAAAATACTAAACAATAATGTGAATATTTTTTTATTTTTTTCAGAGTTTTGAAGAATCAGATGTACTTGCTCGTCATCCTGTAGGGAACTCAACTTATCCCGAGAATTTAAATCAAAATGCAGGCATTTCAAGCAATAGATACATCCCTCCTCCAATCAACGTCCTTTCTCCTCAGTTACGATCCTTTCTTTCGGAAGGATGGGAAGTATGCACTGACCTTGCTTCAACAGCTCACAATCGAAATAACTTGTTAGGTACACTCTGGGCTCGTAGACAATGTCCTTGCCGATGTCATCCTGGTGCATCATCAAACAGTGTTCCAATAACAAATCAATCTGGAAAACCTATTAAAAAGGTTGACAGTCTTGGTTTAAGACACTGCATTTCTTGCAGTTTGAGAGTAAGTCTACTTTTATTCCCAGGAGTTACTCATCTAGCTGAATTATGACAATATCTTTCAGGTTTGTAGGCATACTATGTTTTTTTGTCTTATTCAGGACGACACGAGTCCTGAAGTAAGACCATCTTTCCATATGAAGTCTCCGTCCATACGTTAATTAATGCGAATGAGATTGAGCCGAAATAAGTCTTACCATTCGATCGAGAAACCAATTTTTCGTTCTGCTGTAGGCTGTGAATGGTAAGGAGGTGAGAGATGAAGCGGATCTCAGAACCAAATAGGTAGACGCATAATATACTGACAGTCTTGAATTAGTTATTAAGATAACTTCTTATGTATTCTGCGCGAAATCTATGGTTCAGTGATCGATAATTTGTATGTTATAATTAACTAAATGAAAATTAACATAAGTGATTCTTAAAACGTCCGGAATCAATAAAAATACATATTACGCAACCAGAATGTCAATTTCGCCGGCGTAGGTATAGCATTGAGTCCTAGGGCAGAACTAGCTCTCTTAGAGTGGATCCCAGTAGACAGTCGTTTGTGCGCTGTCCGACTGAACGGAACAGTAAGAATCCGGAAAGATAGGGACACTCGTCGTTGCCTCTTCGTCGTCTCTGCCTATTCTCCCACTGACTGCAGCTCAGATGATGTAAAAGATGAGTTTTACAGAAAGCTTTCGGACCTTCTCCGAAAAGCTAGCGCTCGGATGTAGTAATAGTGGCCGGTGACTTTAATGCTCAAGTAGGTAAACTAAGCGATAAGGAAAGACACCTAGGTGGATCTTATGGTGTCGTGGCTCAAAGAACAGATAATGGCGACCGTCTGTTGCAGCTATGCTCAGATAACCGCCTGTTCCTTGCAAATACTAACTTTAAGCATAAGGAAAAACATCTTTTAACATGGCGACCCCCTAATTCGTCCCAACGTTGGACCCAAATAGATCACATCGCTATCAGCCACCGATGGAGGGGCTCGATAGAAGACTGTCGCTCATTCTGGAGCACATGCCTAGATTCAGATCATGCTCTAGTGCGAGCGCGTATTTGCTTGCGTCTTACTGGACGTAGGAAAGACGCTGCAAGGAAACCTCTTAGGGCCTACTTAATGATAGTCAAGCTAAGAGTATATTTCAGGAACAACTAGGAAAACAGTTAGGCAGCCATGTATGTGATGCCCACCCCGATGCAGCATGGAATGATATCCGAAAAGCTGTGGAAACAGCAGTGATATCTGCTAGTAAGGTAAACCAGAAGGTTAGGGAGCAACACTGGATCTCAGCAGCATCTATCGCACTGATAGATGCTCGGAAACTCATTCCACCTGGCTCTGAACATAATGAAGAGCGGAGTCAGCTTAAGCGCAAGCTGACAAGAAGTCTACGCAATGATCGCGAACAGTGGTGGGTAGCGAAAGCAAGAGAGATGGAAAAGGCAGCGGCAATAGGTAATAGCAGACAATTGTTCAGACTCGTTAAGGAAACCGGAATTAGGAACCCGACCGTTAGCGAAACAATCTCAGAGAAAGATGGACATATTATTCATTCTCAATCCAGGAGATTGGATCGATGGGCAGAACACTTTAGGGATCAGTTCAACTGGCCTTCAGCCACACTTCGGTTTCCCACGATCTCCAGTCAACCTGAATGGCAAGTTAATGTAGGTCCTCCGTCCCTTTACGAAGTTGAAAAAGCCATAGGAAATCTGAAACGAGGGAGAGCAGCAGGCCCTGACAGGTTTACTCCTGAGATTTTTAAGGATGGTGGTCCAGTATTAGCAATGAGATTAACTGAGGTCTTAGGTAGAATTTGGGAACTGGACGTAATCCCATCTGACTGGTCTCAATCACTGATTGTGCCAGTCTATAAGAAAGGACAAAAGTCCTCTTGTGACAATCACAGAGGAATCAGTTTGACTAATATAGTGTCTAAAATATTAGCTTCAATAATACTTCGACGCCTAATCAAAGCTCGTGAAGAGCAGATTAGAGAAAACCAGGCGGTTTTCGACCTGGACGTGGTTGTATAGATCAGATATTCACACTACGTCAGGTTCTAGAACACAGACACACATTCAGACGCCCCACAATGGTAGTATTTCTCGACCTTAAGGCGGCATTCGACTCTTTTGATCGTGAGGTTCTATGGCAGTGTTTGTCACTGAAAGGAGTACCAAAGAAGTACATTAACCTTATAAAGGCTCTCTACTCGAACACAACTGGTAGAGTGAGAGCTTATGGCGAACTGTCATCAGAATTGATTACCTCAAGTGGTGTTCGTCAGGGCTGTCCACTCTCCCCATTCTTGTTCAACTTTGTGGTCGACGTACTTTTAGAGATAACACTCTCCTCATCTAAATTTCCAGGGGTTGAACTTCTACCGGGAGGTTCACTTGTTGACTTAGAATATGCTGATGACATAGTTTTATTTGGTGAAGACGCTGACAAAATGCAGAGTCTTCTGACCACTCTAAGCAACAATGCAAGCATGTTCGGGATGCGATTCTCTCCCTCGAAATGCAAAATGTTGCTTCAGGATTGGGTTACATCGACACCCGAACTAGTGATAGGGAGTGAAGTAGTTGAGTGTGTCGACCGCTTCACTTATCTTGGAAGTCTCATCAGCCCTTGTGGTTTAGTGTGTGACGAAATCTCAGCACGGATACAGAAGGCTCGACTAGCTTTTGCCAACTTGCGTCATTTATGGCGTAGGCGAGATATCCGTCTATCAACCAAAGGACGTGTTTACTGCGCAGCAGTTCGTTCCGTCCTACTTTATGGCAGTGAAACATGGCCGGTAAGAGTAGAGGATATTCGTAGGTTACTAGTATTTGATCATAGGTGTCTTCGAAATATTGCTCGTATATCATGGGACCATCGAGTAAGTAACACAGTTGTTAGGAAACGGGTACTAGGTAAGGATGGCAAATCAATTGATGAAGTAGTGAAACTTCATCAGTTGAGATGGCTGGGACACGTGTTACGTATGCCCAACGACCGACTGCCTCGACGTGCTATGTTCAGTGGTATAGGAGTAGGTTGGAAGAAAGCTAGGGGCGGCCAAACCAAAACATGGCACAAGTCCATGAAGTCACTGACAAGTGAACTGAGTCATGTTGGTAGGTGTAGACTACCTGGTTGGGGACCGCGAGATGATAGCAACCGATGGTTAGAGACCCTGAATGACATGGCTCAAAATCGTTTGCAATGGCGCAGGTGCATCCACTCTCTGTGTTCTCCCAAATTCTAATCTTCTGAATCCTTCATGTCCCTTTTTTCCTCTTTCCAAATTTATTTCACTGGATTATACTCTTTAAATAACATCTCCAAACCCTAATCTTCCCGATTACTGCTTATACTCTTATTACCTCTACCACTACGGGATTTGAATCGACAAGTGCATCTCTGTGCTAATGTGGTGTGGCAACTCGAACTGATGTACGTACGTACGAAGTTCTACGTTGTTACTGACTGACTGACTGACTGAGAATGTCAATTTAGGAAGGTTCTAAAGCTAAATGACAAGAAAACACCTACTCCTAAGGCAGATTGTATGTTAAAGTACTTAATGGAATTCAACATGTAATCAAGAGTGTTTAGTGAAGTTAGATAATATTCTCCCTTTTTAATTCTTCCTCTAAATCTCAATCCAAGGGTTTCTTCAGTTTGCAAACAGAAGAGTGGTAAAGCATTGGATTATAATTGTTGGTAATTCGTGATGAAAACTCTACCTAACCCTAACCTTTTTGCATTCTATCTGGTGTCATTTAATGACGAAAACAACCAGTACAACAGCGGTGCTGCCTTCTCACAAGGAGGGGTGGGGTTAGAAATGGTCGACCCTAAGAATACACAGTCTCCGACGGTAAGGTCTCAACAAGTACGGGGCTAACACGAAAATCACTCACAAAAAAGTCGTGTGTGACCGACGTCGAGCAGTTGTCCTTCGAGCACTGCTGTCACACTTTTAGGTCACTAGGACTACCCCTAACCCAATTTCCTCCTCAGGTACCTCCAAAAGAACCCTTCTACGGTGTGGGCAACCGCCCTCATACCTATAACAGCACTCAAGATCACTATATTCACAATCGGTTTCCCTCTTCAATTCCTATTATTCCCCCTACCTCGACTTTCAACTCTGAACTTCCTCCTCAAGTGCCACCATGGCCAACGAATCTAGTGCGCGAAATACTGTGCCAGGTCTACTGAAACCTCACTCCAAACTACACATTGGAGTCGTCAACGTACGCATCCTATGTTAAATCGGCTTGCAGGTCTCCTTGGCTAAGACCTTAGAATCTCGTACTATTGATGTATGCTGTCTCCGGAACACGCATACAAGATCCTAGTGTGGTCATTCACTTGACCTCACCTCGCCAAAATGGGGACCCGATGAGATACACCCTTCGTCCATTGGACTATCAGCATACAGACTAATCATAGAATATAATACATAACATTGGTCAACTATCTCCATATATCGCTATCATTTATTTTTCAGGTGCATCGTGGCATTGTGTATGTTGATGAGTGCAATCTTCATCTGCGTCACGTGAAGATAACTTGGCCACCTGGTTTTAAACCAAAAGCTCATTTACCTCGAAGTTCCCTATCAGCTGACTCTGTTACAAATCAAATCCCTCGTCCTGCAACAATCCACCATGCATCATCAAATATTCCTACTCGTACTGCTTTAAGCGAACTTGCAAAAATGCATGCCAGGTTACATTCTACAAACAGAGTATCAAATCATCGCAATTTCCTACCAGATATGGCTGGTCGACGTGTTTCAATCGAATTTGTTCCTTCTTTTAAATCAAGTACATTAGACAGTCGACAAATCGATGATTCAAGCAATCAAGATGAATGTAATGCTCTTGAAGGAACTGATGACGTTCGAATCTCCTGTCCTTCAATAGATAAGCATCCAAGACTAGTCGATGTAGATAGTAGAAATGGTCTCATACCACGTGAATTACATTCGAAATTTGATGTAGAAAATCCTATGAGTTGGTCGCTCTATGATGAAGCTGCTTGCTTCAATACAGAAGCTTTTGCATCTACATACAATGAGAATCATGAAGGTGATCCGTGTGAATTAGTTAATGATGATTGGACACCGGAAGAAGACAGGCAGTTATTGGAATTTTGTAAAGCTAAAGGACGTTACAGCTCTCAGATGTTTACAGACTTAGCTAAAATATGGGAACCCAAACCATATGTTTACTCTGCACAACGAAATCCACTGGAATTAGAAGAACGTTTTAAGCATCTCATGCGTATCACATTGAGAGAAGCTTATGATCCAGAGTTATTTCAAACGCCGTATAGAGACGAATCTTCATGTGAAGATGACTAATCATAATTTGACCTTATGCATTTGTTTTCCCATATTCACAGAATAAGTTAACGCGCATGAATCAAGTCTTTCATCTGTATAAATTTGTACATTACATAGACTTCTTATTAATTATCAACATATATTTATCTTCTCACAGTTCATTCTTCAAACTTTATAAAATATATGTTAGCGTTGCAAATTTTTGAAGTCACATATTTTGCATATGCTTTCAAAGTTCTTTATGAGATAACCCTTAAAAATTGTTCTAAATTGCGTATAGTGCATAGATCCGGTGATAAGTAACAGATTCGTTTAACTTTGTGGAATCGATTAGATTATGTTAATGGGGATGGATATCCCATTGACTTTACAGCAAGGTGAACCAATAAATAAGAACTTTCGTCTAAATTTGATCGAACAGTTTCACAGTATTTGGGCGCCGAGTTAATGTGAGACATTAAGGAGGAAGGATGTATTCGTAAAATCTCAGCGAATGAATTCGCCTGGCAATCTGGTCCAAGCCTTTTCAAGGAAACAATCAAATTTATCGAATATAAATAGGTATATGGTTCTCCGGTTCACTGTATACTGAATAGGTCATCCAGTCAACGTTAACAATGTTTAAAGTAGGTATTTACATTAGTGTGAAGCGGGGTTGAGCTGTATTGTCTGGGTTGTCACTTGGAAGTCCGGATGGTGTCTGGTTCTGTAAAATTACCCTGGCCCACAAGGGTATATTATATGACTGAATAGTCCCCAAATGCCCTAGTACGGCCGAGAGTGTGGAGAGTCCGCTCTCCCTCTCGAAATGCTCTCACATGGCCACGCGTATATAGCCTCTGCCAGAGACGTTCTACTCACTGTCTTCTCGTGGCGGGGGTGTTTACGAAGTTGAGAGGACGAAAAGTGAATGTCCGGAGCTTTAACCGGGTTAGTGGACATGAAGTCGTCATCTAGGGGAGTTGGAAAACCTTGATTCCAAACCAATGGTGCACATGAGCTCCGGTGCCCTGAGGGAACAAATGGCGTATGAACCGATTGTTGGTCACTGGCTATCATGGGATTGCATCTCTTGATATTGCTCCACTGCCTCGTGGACCAGACCTTCAGGTCGAAGGCTCCGGGTATGGCCCCCTAAGAAAACTACCTGCTTCGGTTTGGGCACCCGGGCAGTATCACAGCCCTCACACATATCAAATGAGATCTGTGTGGCGCATATTTATTTGGTGCCTCCTTGTACCAATATCTGTGTTAAAATAAAAATTTACATTATTGTGTAAGAGACATGTGGTGTGACCCGATTCTATCGAGTGTAATACTATCGCTGATTTGTCTTTTAGTTTTCTTACATCAAGTGAGGATTTAGGAATGTGCTTTAAGCATAGTTTGTGCTCCTCCACCCTTATATTCAGTTTTCTTGACGTTTCACCGACGTACGTTGCATTGCGGTCACTACATTTGATTTCATAAACACAATCCTATTGTTCCTCCTTGTGTATTGGATCTTTGATTCTTACTAGTTTTGATCTTCGAGTATTGTCTGTTCGAAAGAATACTCTGATATTTTAAAGAGTTAGGGTCCTTCTGAAATGCCTTTAGGAAATGTATCACCACTGTGTTGATCCATCCTAGTTTTCGTAATATTCACCGACCAAAGACAGTATACAGTGAATGAAATTTCTCACTTACGTATACACACAATATGTTATCTTAACACTTTTCGTTTCACACCCATGTCTCCTACACAACAATGTAAATACCTACTTTAAACATTGTTAACGTTGATTGGATGACCTATTCAGTATACAGTGAACCGGAGAACCATGTACCTATTTATATTCGATAATTTTGATTGTTTCCTTGAAAATGCTTGGATCAGATTGCCAGGCAAAACGTTGGATTCACTTCGAATTCATTCGCTGAGATTTTACGAATACATTCTTCCTCTTTAAGGTAAATCAGTACCTAATCATCTACCGTAAATCAGCGTTTTTGCGAATCGGTATCCTGGTTGATAACACTTCGGGTGTTTAATTCGATGGTAATGAATTTCACGTAAAATTCTGCTAACGATTTCTAAATAGTTTGCTATGCAACATCAGTTACAAAGGTATTATTATTATTCTGTCATCTAACTTCATTGTTCGGTTTAAACAACAAGCGAACATCAACCATGGATCAGGAACGATTATGATGCCGTCTTAATAAGCAAATGGATTCAAACTGACAGCTAATTTGGGTGGCATGTCTTCGGAATCTTTATGTTCGCAAGACTAATCACAAATCCTCTCGACATTACGGAAAACTTAATAATACTAGATTACTTCTACACAAATAGTAATCAATGGTTTTGGAGATCACATTAATTCGCTATTTATTTAAGCCATTCATACGACATACACGAGTAAAGGTTTCTAACGAAGTACATTCCTACTTATTCCAGTATGACAGGGTCATCAATATTGCATATTGTAGTCCGGAATCCAACATTTTTAGTAAGACAAGTGATTGTGGTTCTGCAACAACACCAAAAAACTTTATCATTCAATTATCTCTCTAGTTTTTAACAATGATGATACCCGAGAATTACCGCTCCTCTACACAACCAAAAACTTGATGATCCTTATCCGACCATCAACCCTCTTCTCCTTCATATTAATTTTCTGTTACTGAGATTATCTCCACTAATTAATCGTGGGATCAATAGTAACATTACAAACCTACCGAACAGCATTCCTAGTCTCAAATAAGCAACTGTATATCGTTGCCTGTAACGCTTGATTATATCTCAAACAAAATAATTTTAGGAGTAAAATTCCATGCAATCAATGTTTTCTGCCCTAGAAATTCGGCAGTCCTGTTTATCTCATTCATAAACAAACATCTTAGGAGCACCTAGTTGGTGGCTATCTGACTCCCTCTCATCCTTATTTGTATTCATACTGGTTACTCGAGATGTGGATCGGTGGTTCAACTATACGACTACGACTAAGTTTCGTGTTGATTATTCTAATATTCGTGACAAACTCATACCTCGATTACTGGCCAATAACCGCAAGTAGAACCAAACTATTCTTGTCTAGATAACTGTTACGATAATATATTTTCCCCTTAATACTGAGAACACATCTCATTTCTATGCGTGATGATGTTAACTGAATCTGTTTGTCAAAAACTTTAAATATTTCAATTCTCCACACTTTACAGACGCCCAACTGAAGCCGTGTTTCCTGACTATGATTTCTATTCTATAGTGCTGGAGTAATAACCTATGACCCTGTGGATCAATTACTTTGCTTCTCCTACTTATAATAGACTGTGTAGATTTATAAGGATGACCAGTGGAATTCAGTGAACACGCCTGAGTGCTTAGTGACACCCGAAAGAGTATGGTCTTGCGTAGTCTAACTACATTCACTTGGGAAGTAATTTTTTGTAGTTAAAATTATCTGTTTTATATAACACTGTGAAAGGAAATAAGTGAGTTTGTCAATATTCACAAAATAGTAAACAGTACATTTAGATTCATAATTAGTGACTTTCTTATTTACCACGAAATCCTCCACCACGACCAGGACCACCAGGTACACTCCCGCCACGCCCTGCTCCTCCACGACCTCGAGTATTAGGAGCATTACCACCCCGACCTAAAATGAAGTAATAATTAACACAGAAAATTCGTAACAAAGGTTTGAAAGTCTCAAGGAACTAAATATCCTAATTAGGATAGAGGGTCAAATATATTTTTAAACATATTACTCCTGGATTACATTTATACGGGTACAAAATGTTTGAGCTGTAAATTAAGTTTCTACAGAGTGCTTTAAGTAATTTATGCAATGAATATCAACTGCTAAATATCTGAAGTATGAAAAAGTAATTATCTATCACTCTGAACTGAACAGGTTTAATTCAGTCCATTACAATGAACCAATTATTTTTTGTCGAGTCTGCAGAAGCATGACTATCTATGTATCTGTTGCTCAAAAAAGTAACATTAGAAACTTCTTATTCAATTGGGGGATTGGTTTATTGGTTGTGAAGTTTAGTGACTGCGGAAACACTATCAAAACACAAACTACCTGTCGACTGTGTTTGCAGTCTTATCACCACTGGTTCATACTCTAGTGAATTGACTATTGCCAAGTACAGATCGATACTACGTAGTTGCTTAAATCGAAGTATATGGGTGGGGGTTAAAAGAGTGACCTAGTTCCTTAAAGTTAAAAACCCTAGCCACCGGTCTAATCATGCTGCACAATGTATAAAACTTAAAGTGCCTTCTGTTTGTTTTGATTTACCGAAAGTTTATTTGATTGTTAGACAGTAATACTGACGGCTTTAGGGAACTTTTAGGCATTGTTTATCCTGTTTAAAGTCTGAACGTCTCCATCTATAGAATTTCTAGTTAAAACCAGGACTTCATATTAACCAGTTGTAGGAAAATGCACAATAGTTTTTTTTCAATACCAATTACCGAATAATAAAATACTGTCTGCGTTTTACAATTAAAGCGTATTTACAGTGCTTTATCAAATCGACCTTTAGGCAATTTTGGAAGCCCGACTATCACTTCTTCTAGAGCACACGCATGGACTGCGATCATGTCGTATTGAGAGCAGACACGTTATCAACATTGAAGCTGTCACAGATATGGTTTGGTCAAAGTTGTCGCACCACGGAACGAAAAGATGAAAATAACCCGAGATTAAAATAATATAGTAGCAATGACAGAAAGACCAAAACTTGGGAATATTGTTTGAAAAGATAGAGTGGAAAGGTCTATATGAAGTAATGATATTATTCAAGCCCAAGAGAAGAGTGAATGCTGTCACTTAGTCTCCAGCCCCTGGTTACGGTAATAACACGGACAATAAGTAGTATACATGATTTAACGAAGCCCAGATCAACAGTCAATAACTTCAGAGATTGGTCTGATTATCTCTAGCTGACTTCAAACCTACATGTGCACTTGAAATCACAGCTCATCGAAGTAGATGGGGGTTAGGCATATCCAGCATATGTTCCAACTACCTCACTTGATGAAGTTTGTAGAAAAAGCGAATTATTAAAGTGGAGACATTTTTGAAAATAATACAGTGCGGTGAGACTATAATTTATGGACGTTTGAGAATGTCCACCTACATACTATGGCTACATGAGGGTTATAAACCAGTGTGAGGAATCAGGGTTAATATTTACAGCTAATAGTTAGACTTAGTGTTTTCATCACGAACTGACATCAGCTACAATGCCAAAACTCTATTTAGTTGAGTGAATGAATAAATTACGCGCCGAAATTCAAGACCCATTATCGTAAATCTGATTGATTCGTCCGTAAATTATAGTCTCGCCGATAGTGCTACTATGTTTTGCTATCGTATGTAGCCTCCCAGTAGCACCACATCAAAACGATCTTAATAGTGAACCCTTCAATATCTAATTTAATACCCTTCGGATAAATGTGTACATTACCAGTCATTCATGTCTTAAAATACAATATTAGTGATATCTAATTAATTCAAGCAAATGGACGACAAGAAGCAGTTTAGGGAAAAAGACCAAGCAAGCTGAAGAAAACATAAATATCAGCTATAGGATGTTGGTTAACGAGATCACAATTATGAATGTAAATACATGGACATAAGAATGCTCTGGAGGAAGATATTGTTTAATGAGAATACCAAAACTGAATTATATTACCTCTAGCCTTATTTCTATGAAAACTCCCACGCCCAGTGTCTGCAGACTGAGAGCGATTACGCATTTTGGCTAGCTGCAAGTCCTCTTTAACCTTATCGATTACGTCGTCTGGAATCCGTAAATATTTTATTATGCTTCCACGAATATAACACTCTGGCATTTTCCAGAAGCGGTCCCCATCCTACGAAATATAAACTCAGCATATATATAGGATTTACTCGAGATGTACAAATAACTTCTTTAAGATGAATGTTCATCCAGTCATCGCAAGCAACAAGGTGACCGTTATAAGTTTCACCACTTTTCAACTCAACAAGCTGAAAATAATTTAACGACTGCAAATGAAATTACCATAGGAAGATTCGTTGCAGCTTTGAGGAGTGTCACGGGTAACTAAAAAAATCAAGGAAATAAAAGAAACACAAACCATTGCGAAATACAATCAAGCGCCCAATAATTAAGCTAGCGCAAGGTCATCTCATCCTCAATGACCATTATCCAATATCGATATTATGGGTAAGCACAAGCTTTGCATCTCTATATAACCATAGCTTTGTTGCAAAGAAAAGTCGATATTTTTCGAAAGTGTACTGACAGAGGAAAAAGAAAAACATTTTTTCAATAAATCGAGAACCATAATGTAAATCCGAAGTTTTTATGGAGGCGCGACCGGTAAGTGAATGTGTCTCAATATGGCTGTCATCAACATAATTTTTCTTGTTTAGTTCCATTTAGAGTAGTCAGAGTGCGTTGGTGAATATGTGTGTTGATAATCAGGAAGTTTAAATGGTCCAAATGGTTGTACAAGAATATAAGTAGTTTCATAGCAGTGGGGCGCCGATGCGTCTAGGTACGGACTGTGGTATATTTAACAAGCAAGTGCAAAAATGCAGTTTGTAGAAAGGAAATGCTGTTCTGAATTCTTACGAATATATCGAGTTTCCTCCCGAAGGACTCCTGTGACGGCGCTTATACAACCCCGACCATCTGTAAGTTCCAGAGTTCGACCAATCGCAAAAGATAGAAGGTATTCCCACCACACAGCTTGTCACGTGTGTCGAAACTGAACTTAAGTAAGTACTTCCTGAGATAACCAGGAGTGCTTAGGATCCTATAAGTCATTAGAGTATCATTTCTCAGTGGCCTGTACTGTGTGGGTAGATATCAAGTTATTGAAGGCGCTCTCTATAACTAAGACACCGAAATCTGTTGCAAATTTGGACATTTCTAAAGGGGATTCCCAAAAGTGTATGTATAGTTCATAACATGTCTGAAATGGACTATTTCATACCTTCAGGTGTTGAAAGTCTGTAGTTAACTACCCAAACTTGAAGTCCAGTCAGATCCTCTTGAAGTATCAGTTCATTATTCAGGTTAGAACCTTCTCTCTAAAGTTTCACATCGCCGGCGAAAATTATTACAACAGACGATTCCTGTTGATGAGTGTAATTTATATAAATTAAAACGTTTTTGGTTCTGAACCTTGAAGGACTTTACGTTCTGTAGATTGAGAAGAAACAAAGTTTACTCATACTATCAGACTCAACAAGTTCGATATGAATTAAACCAATCCATCAATTGTGGCTTGATAACTAACAACTTAAGTTTGTTTATGAGTCATGAATGTTTGACTTTGTAGAATTATGGTCTACTATGATATTAGTACTGCTCTAATAATAGACCTAATCCTAAATTTGTAGATTTGTCATGATATAACTGCCTAATCTATAAGATCTTACGTGGAAGTCACACCATCGACTGCACCAACTCACTGTATCGTACCAATTACCAATGCATGATGTAGAACAAGGTTAGGCTAGAGGAGGAACAATATATTTAATATGAATAGAAGATATAAGGTAATATTCAGATGGACCACGCCTGCATGGCCGAGCCATGCCATCCGATCAACTCCAGTCCGTTCAATTCATTGTTCGCGCCTTCTCCATTGTTAGCTATTTCTCCGCGTTAAATATTGAATATCTATTTTCTGAGTAGTCTCGTGTTCACAGCTTTGTGGATTGTGTGGCTATTGTCCAATGCCACTACACTACTCTCCCACCAGAATCAACGTGATGTTGGTTCGATACCAAATTGTATGGGATCGTAGTGCGCCGGAGGTTGCCAAGGATAATAAGAATCCTCCGTGTATTGGTAAGCTGAAAGATAAATCAAAAAGAAAGCGGCAGCATCTGGTCGGGAAATACATGTAATAATTTTAAAATATCTGCCTTCATGCTTAAAACGCTTGAAATGAAAATTTGGGTGAAGATTATTTGGACTATAAAGAATGGCATAACAATAATAATAATAAAACGATGCGTGCTAATAGCCGTTGGTTAATAACTTAACGTATAGGTAGTAAGTATTTCGTGCCTTGAAGTAACCCTCGTGCTATTGATAGAAGAAACCAGACAAGTAGTGAATAGGTCTTTATTTCGATCTTAGCGCGGTGACAGTGGAGCATGGGATTATCTGTTCAGACAAACAAAGGCTCTCAACATTCAATATAAGATAATAGGGAATATAACGCTTATAAAAAATAAGGAAGTGAATGAATACTTGAACAATACTGTTTCAGCATATGCTTGGTTGTTTGGGGTCACTTCTTAACCAACCAACCTAAGCTGTTACATTAGCTTCCCCCTAGAATCGACTTCCGTAGGAACGTCGGTTCGATTAACCTCACTATCGAAAACGCCTTAGTTCTATTTCTCATCCCAAGGGAAAATTATCAACTCGCTCACTGTTTGATTTACAATCAGTGACGACTGACGCTGTCAACGATAGTCCATGGATGTCTCTTCATTTACTAGCTTGTCATTTTGTTTTGTAGCATGTGATTTCTCCTACAACTATCGCCGATGGTTTGCTGCGTGCTTTCAAGAGAAAGTTTGAGAATGTGGAATAAGAATATCTGAGGAAGTGCCGCGAGCGGGCTACCCAACACCATGTTGGTGAGGTACGATTTTTCCGTGCTCAGACCGGCTATCAGGTGTTTACTCACCTGCCTCTTGAGTCGCCCTCAAGTAAAAAGTAAAGAAGAATCTACTTCAAAGGTAATGGTGAAAATCAAGCAAACCTGAAGAACTGCTCCACTGCCTGCATAAAATAATAAGATACAAAATGGAAATACATAAATGTAATTGATAATTGTTCGGTTCCATGTAAGTGCTTGGTCTCCAGAACGGATTGGTATTCTGGAAGAGAATAGACATAGTGTAGATATCTTGTGCACGAAAAACCATGAAAACAAAAAAAATACTCTTTTGTAATGCATATATGTAAAAGGGTGAACTTGCTAGAAGTTGGACTCTTTAACAAAATCGATCAAACGCATGACCTTGAGCCTGTGATGACCGCGTTTTGCAACTAGGTGCGTAACCAAGGGTGCATCAGAATACTCCACGAAACGGAAAAGAATATACGGTTAAGAAGCAAAAAAATTGTGTAGAGTATGCGGATCAAGTACAGTTGTGTCAAATACCCTTTTCTTGTTTGATTTAGGTATGCATGATATGTTGAAGCAATATATCGTCAATTCATCCAAGTAACGAATTGGTTTGCACCTCAGAAGTGTGTAAGTCCTATTACTCATTAGTATTATGAGTGATTAATTGGTGTAAGGAAATATTGAAGTCACTTCCTCCGTGGTCTGATGTGGCTTAACGGCTAAGCACGCGGTCTAGCATTCAGGAGGGCAGAGGTTCGAGTGCGTGTGGGGCCTGCGTTTTTGTTCACCAGACCCACCTTCAATACGATGTTTGTTGCCCGTAAGTCGCGCACATATGAGAGAAAAAATGACAAGAGGACAGATTGATATATCAAAGTGCCATATTGGAAAAGTATAAGTCCTTTGTTTACATGAATATTATTACTATAGAAAAAAAACTACAAGTTTAGTAAATTTCCATTTTACGTTATATTTAAAACAAAGAATATATATATTTATATCAGTTATTGACATAAAATGTCTTTTTTATAACGCTAATGTTAAGTTCCAGGACTTTGTATGGACCACTAATAATAATTGGTTTAACGTTAGCATAGTCGTGATATTCATATTGTCAGTTCAATGTTATGATTACTAAACAGTTCCCTTATAAGTTGTTTAAAATTAGGTATGTGGAATCAATGCGGCTGACATAGTAACCTTACAGTAACGCACTGTACTATATCTTCACGGTTATTGATTCTTAAATGTCAGAAATTAAAAAAAATCTGAATATTGCCAATAAAGATGGGTTATATGATCACACTGAAAAGCATGCTGCAGGGAAACTGGTTAAGTCATTACGTAAGTTTCCTAAACATGAAAAAAAATGATGAGAACTTTAATAAGTACTTGACCATGGTTTAATCCAAAATGTTTTGTCCAGAAAACTACTTATTAATAGTAGTATTAATCGTATCAAGCTACTAAACATATCCTCAACCGAAAACTTTTAGAAGTAGTTCATATGGTATATATGTATAGCCAGTCTACGTGAAAAATGTATATAAATATATAAGAAGTACAGCTAACATAGTTAATTAACCAGAAAAAGAAATTATAAAACTCGCCTGGGTTGCTTTTTGAATTCGTTGTATTTGCCAGTGTTAGTTGTATGAGTTTGATTAAAATCCTCAGCCATCGTTTCGGAATACCTAGCTTATGTGTCCAGTATTTTAAAAAAAATATTTAACATAACACTTATATATCAAAGGTAAAAGGTCTGGGGAGTTGTAGGTGAGGCGGAATGAGGGAAAAAATTTTTTTAAGTAAGTGCAGGGTCTGATTAGCTACGTGATTAGATTTTATCCTGCAGCCGAAACTGTCAACATCCTTGACTGACTGATCGGATGTGCCCAGCGAACCGTTTTAGTCATTTGTAAAGATTTATCATCTTTACATTTCGATTCCGTAATGGATTTGTCAGTTAAACGATCTTTTTTTTTTTTTTTTTTTTTTTTTTTTTTTTTTTTTTTTTTTTTTTTTTTTTTTTTTTTTTTTTTTTTTTTTTTTTTTTTTTTTTTTTTTTTTTTTTTTTTTTTTTTTTTTTTTTTTTTTTTTTTTTTTTTTTTTTTTTTTTTTTTTTTTTTTTTTTTTTTGTCACATCTTATCCAGACGTGCGTGCAATTGCTTAGGTCTTTAGGTATATATACGGCGCGCGATTGTTCACGAGTATTAATCGGCTTAATTTTAGACATGTGGTCCCGTAGTTGATCTACATAATTTTCTAAATTAAGTTTTTGACTGTTAGTATTAGGGTTAATAAATTCACCTGGTAGTCTCAGAGTTGTTCCGAAAACCAGTTCCGCAGCTGAACACTGTGCGTCAGTTTTGACAGATGTTCGTATTCCCAACATAACTAACGGTAGGAATTCTGTCCACTGATTGGGGTTTGAGTGAGATATAAGGGCGGTTTTTAGCTGACGGTGAAAACGTTCTACCATCCCATTAGCCTGAGGATGATATGCAGTGCAGCGTATCCTATTGGAG